GACTAGTCTGAAACTGCAGCAAGGAAAAGTCAGGTTTAGATACAGGGAAAAAAAACGTATCTTCAGGTATTAAAAATAAAGTAGTGGAATAGATTGCCTGTGGACTTTGTGGACTGTCCAACTCTGAAGACATATAGGAATGGATTAATTGTTCCCCCAGGTTATGGAAAGCAAAGGTGAAAAATGAAAGGTTTTTCTTAACTGGGTAAAAATGAGCTATTGCTGGATTGTGGATTCATTATTTTTGTAAGAGCTGTTCCGGGCTGATGTTCCCCTGGTGCTCTTTGTCCAGTTTGCATGAACCCACCTCAGCAGGCAGAGGAAGGATGCCCACGTGGAAAGCTGGCACACAACTGCTTCTTGTCTCTAAATTCACATCCCAGGTATTTGGTGCTAAGTTTTCTAGATAGACAAGTGCCAACACTTAGCAAAGTTAGAGAGAATAAAAGTTTCCTACTAACTATACTTGGTTCACATCCTTGTTACTGGACGGAGGCTCTCAGCAACTTTTCATAGTACAGATGGGGGGACTTTAGCCATTTTCTCTATTGGGCTGGCTTGAATTTCTCTCCTTATTCCTTACTCTTGGAGTGGACATCTCTTGCAGAATGGTGACTTAAACACCACAGATTTGAGTTATAGTGGTTCCTTCTCTTCTTTCTCCAGGGAGAACAAGGCCTAGATGGGTTCCCTGGCAAGCCAGGTGTGGAGGGGAAACAGGTACGTGGCAAATACTCAACGACTGGAGGCTTTTCTTTGGAATGAGTGGAAGTTTGACTCCACAACTGAGACTTATCGTGGGTGGCTGCTGAGTCATGGCAGGACCCCGCTGCATCAGCAGTTTCTATGCTCCTTATTCTAAGGATCTTTGTTGGCACAGTTTTCTTTTTTTTGTTTGTTTGGTTTTAAAATTCAATTGTAATGACATATACACTTGAAGGAAATGCCAGTCCTTTAAACATGATAGGTTAGATGTTTGTCTTAATTTTCATTAAAGACATAAGGAAGCACATATAAAAATTCAGTTGTTTAAGCCTGATTTTTATAAACTTTTTTTTCCCCTCCCTGAACATGAAAGGGGGAGAACTGGATTTAATATATTTGGTTTGTTTTCAATAAGAAAGGCTTGGAACTATTTACATTTTTAAGACAAGATGAAACCAGAAAATGGTCTAAAAGACCAGTACGTTTCTGCTGATTAGACAGATAATGCTTTGTCTAAAATTGCTATCTGTAGATCCCACAAGACTGTTTTCATTACTCAGGGTATGATACCTAATGAGAGGCATCCTTCACTCCCAAGGATCTTCTGGGCTAAATAGCAAAGGACAGAGTAAGAAGCAGAGGCTAAAAAGTGATTTGCCAAAAGCCATGCAGCTAATCATTGCCACCCTTGAGCCTGAAGCCTCCAGGCTGCTGTGTCTGCATTCTATTCACTAGCCCTTGCTGTTTCCCTCTCTGGAAAGGATCATCCGGAGGCACGTTTTTGCATTTGCAGAGGTGGAGGAGCTGCACGTCAAATCCTCAGGATAGCTCGTCTTCAGGTGGTTGGTCCTGCTGCTCACACAGACAAAGTGGCTGCTGGGGTCTGACCTGAACGTGCTTTACAAGCACAGCAGCCACGTGCTGCCCGAGTGCCTTGCTCTCGCTCTTTTAGCAGCTGGAGTTTCAACTTGATTTTGTTGAGAAGTATTTTTGTTTCCATATCAGACATGTCTTTTGTATTTAGATGGCGAGGTATAGTGTCATTAGCAATATCTTAATCGCTGTTAAATCTACATCTTCCTCTCTGTGAGGTGATAAAGATTGTTACACTAAATTTTTCTCTGTTTGCCCATGGGGGATTTGAGAGTTGATCATCGCTTTCTCTCTGCTCTGTTCCTCAGCCACCGTTTACCCTATACTAAGAAGTATTAGTCTAGTTAGTGTTTATCACTATCCTTATAAGATGGAAATGTTTTCTGGTGCTCGATGCAGCACTGGAATCACAATGAACTATGTTCACTATGCCCATTACATTGTTTATGGGACTGGTTTATACTTGCAGCGAATGTGGATGAAGTGAGAAATTTCAGAGGGATGTGAAGGTGGATGCTGATTGTTTACTACTTCTAAGGAACAATTTCTCCAAGTGACACCCTATTACAGAAGTTAGGTTTTTCTGAAGTTTTTTTTGTCTTTTTCATGTCTAGACACCTAGCAGCGGGCAAATCCTCATGCCTGAATTTTATCCTTAACTTTGTGTTTGACACTGATGTACTCCCTGAACTGCAATCCTTCTGAACCAGCTGAAATTGGATTGCTGTTATCATGGCTGCTGTGGCGTCTCCGTCCTTATTCCCCTTCCTCTCTATGCAGCAGAGCCAAAGCAGCCTTGTGTGTTGTATTAGCTCCTACCCCGGTGCAACGGGACATAACTGTTTGTGCTGTCCATACCCAAACCTGCAGCCTTATGTTTATCCTGTACTGTAAGGGAATTGCGACTGATGACCTGCAGTATGTAAACAAAAGATTTTTCTCTCCGTTTTACCTGTTTATAGGGCCCTGCTGGCAGCCCGGGCCCTCCAGGTGCCAGTGGGACCAAAGGAGAAAAGGTGAGTTGGGATGGGATGCACGAGAGGGGTTTGGACGCACATTTGTTAATTCCTTCTTGGGCCCCCAGTGCTGGAAATATCAGGGCTATTGGCCTAATATTTATCTCATTTGTGTATAAGTGAAGTTTATATGCATTTAAATGTTTCACTTTTCTGATGTTGCTTCACCGCTCACCCCCCCACCAGTGGGATGGGGGAGAGAATCGGAAGGGTAAAAGTGAGAAAACTCGTGGGTTGAGATAAAAACAGTTTAATAGGTAGAGCAACAGTCACGCACGCAAGAAAAGCAAAACAAAGGAATTAATTCACTACTAGTTGGTAGAGCATGGGAAGTTGGAAAGTCCTTGACTAGTATAAACACTACCTAGCAACAACTGAAAACATCAATGTGTTATCAACATTGTTCTCACCCTAAATCCAAAGCACAGCACTGTACCAGCTACTAGGAAGGAAATTAACTCTATCCCTCTCATTTGTGTATAAGTGAAGTTTATATGCATTTAAATGTTTCACTTTTCTGATGTTGCTTCACTCTGCAATGGGTATAAGTGAGTGTTAAATCATGCCTGGTTATAGCTCCTCTACTCTTGGTTTAACCCTCACAGTGGGAGTAGAAGAAAGTAGAGAGTAGTTTAGCTCAGGAAATCTTCCTCACCTAAAAAAGGTGAGTAGAAGTGTCAATATGTTTGTGTAGATGCCGGTTTTCTGACCCAGGAGATGTAGAATTGACTAAGAAAATATCAACCAAACAAGCCCAACCCTTCTACCTGCAAAATAATTATTAACTGCTCTCAGCAGCAATTTTGACCTCATTATTTTACAGAGTTGTTAGAGTTTCCAGGGCAGCCTTATGTTTCCCTCTCTGCTAGAGGTGACGTGGTTTTGGTATTTCCTACCTAGTTCTTTGGCATGAGTGGAGAGGCATGCCCAGTTCTGGATTTTCTTTCTCATTTTCTCCTCCAGATAAGGCAGTGAGCCTTATCCAAGGATGCAGAGATCAGAAGCAAATCTCTCTATTTCCCATTACTTTCCCACTCAGATTCAACAGCTGTAGGTGAGCAGAAGCAACTACAAGCAGGGCACATCCACTGTGGTGATAAGCACCGACAAGATCTTTGTGCTCCAGCATGTGTGCAGTAGAGAGCAGTCTTGAGTTCGTAACACTTCATCTATATCTCTGAAGTGGCTGCATGTGGTGCTTCCAGAAGATATTTACCTCCTTGCTCCATTACTTTCAGGGCAGCTGATGTGTGTCTCTTCAGTCCTTGTGCCATAGTATGGATTTTCTTTAGAATAAATAACAAATAGTAATTAAACTTGCCTTAAGAGGAAATAGCATGAAAGATATGTGGGGTCATTCAGAGACCTACATGAGTAATGAATAAAATAGAGAGTGAAAGGAAGCTATATGATAATTTTTGCATTAGTTTGTGCCTAAAGTAAAGGAGATACCTTCTGGAGGCTTAGTCTTAGAGCATAATAAATAGTGGACACTGCTGGAAAAAAATGTGCTGGAACGAACTGATAGCCTAGATGGCAATAAATCCTGTGAAGAGGGTGTAGCATCCCAGTGTCCTGCAAACACTTATAGCATGATTCTGCTCTATCAAATGACTTGGGGAAAATGGTGCCATTTCTCACTTTTTTTTCTTTTTGCAAAGAATTTTTGCTCATTAACAAACAAAAGCATTTTGCCCCCTAAATATCATTCCTGCAGAGTCTGTTAGGGATCTGAGCATCAGTCAGGTTTATTTGTGTGGTATGTGTTCACCAATTATAAGATTTTTGAAGCTCAATTTCAATGTTATGGTGCATCCAATGCTTCATTCATTTTAAGTCACTAAATGTCATTAAAATCAATGTGTAACATCACAGTAACACACAACACATCCAGTTCCCTCATGTATTAACCTAGAGAGCCGGGAAAGCAGAGTTAATTGGGATTGCATGTTCATAGCTATTAATTATGGGCTGGTATTGAAAATGAGAATGTACAACAGCAGTTGGAAAACATGCTCGGAGGTTTGCTTCTGTTTGTGTTATGTTATATATTGTGCTATGTTGTGTTCTGTGTTATGTTATGATTTTTCATTTCTTCCGTGTTTCCCTGCAGGGTGAACCAGGACTTCCAGGATTGCCTGGCTCGTCAGTAAGGATTTTTTTAGCTTTCTCAAACATTGTAGGCATTATTGCATGAGAAGAGAAGGTGGAAGCTGGGGGTGGGAGGATTTTACTAAATGAGAGATGTTCTTAAATGTTTTTTCAAAAAAAAGTGAAGTTTAAGGCAGTGAAGATTTTTGAAGAAGGCAAGTGATGGGTTCCAACAAGGAGATGTACTGCCACAATTTTGGGAGATTTTGAAATGTGAAGATTAGGACTTGAAGAGGCAATGAAAGCATTGCCTCAGGTGCATCAGAGAGAGAGATACTGTGACAGGACTGTGTGGTTTCCAGGACAGTTGTTGAGTTGATGCCTAGTGGCCTTTGGAAAGTAGAGCCTGTGAAAGTTACAAAAGCAAATGAAAGTTCAGAATCGAGTTGAATTACTGAGTGCCTTTGTCATGGGCTGGATGTGAGAGTTGGGAGGGGAGAAGAAAAAGGAAATTTCTGATGAGGGGGAATGATCTTTCCTTGTGTTACATCTGAAAAAGTCCTGGTGGAATGTGAGACAACTAGGACCTGATGTGCTGAAATCAGGAAAGCAGTGATAAAAAAGCAAACCAAGAAAATAGGAGAGGGGGGTTGATCTTTCCTGTGGCTCTAAATTTACATGCCTTTGTGCATCCCTCTGCCTTCAGCAATGCCTTCAGTGACCCCAGAGGCATCACTAGCAGGGACATAAGGATGTCCAGAGGTTAGTATTGTATGTATGAAGAGGTCATCTCCAAGTGAATGGAGAAAGAAGAATTACTGTAAAGTATGCAGAGGAGAGGTCTAGAATTGAGTTTTGCAGGGGCTGGTAACAAAGCAGTTGGGGAGTATCCCTTTTTCTTTCTGTGGTGGGTTGACCTTGGTTGGATGCCAGGTGCCCACCAAGCAGCTCTATCACTCACCCTCCTCAGCTGGACAGGGGGAGAAAAATATGAGGAAAGGCTTGTGGATCGAGATAAGGACAGGGAAATCACTCAGCAGTTACTATCACAGGCAAAACAGACTCGACTTAGGGAAATTAATTTAATTTATTACCAATCAAAATCAGAGTAGGGTAATGAGAAATAAAACCTAAATCATGAAACACCTTCCCCCCACTCCTCCCTTCTTCCTGGGCTCAACTTCACTCCCAATTTCTCTACCTCCTCCCCCCGAGCAGCTCAGGGGGATGGGGAATGGGGGTTGCGATCAATTCATCACACGGTGTCTCTGGCGATCCTTCCTCCTCACATTGTTCCTCTGCTCCAGCGTGGGGTCCTTCCCATGGGATACAGTCCTCCATCAACTTCTCCAACGTGGGTCTTTCCCATGGGCTGCAGTTCTTCACGAACTGCTCCAGCGTGGGTCCTTTCCATGTGTCCTTTCCACGGGGTGCAGTCCTTCAGGAACAGACTGCTCCAGCGTGGGTCCCCCATGGGGTCACAAGTCTTGCCAGCAAACCTGCTCCAGCGTGGGCTCCTCTCTCCATGGGTCCACAGGTCCTGCCAGGAGCCTGCTTCAGCACAGGCTCTCCACAGGGTCACAGCCTCCTTCAGGCACATCAACCTGTTACAGTGTGGGGTCCTCCATGGGCTGCAGGGGGACAGCCTGCCTCACCATGGTCATCACCACGGGCTGCAGGGGAATCTCTGCTCCAGTGCCTGGAACACCTCCTTCCCCCTCCTTCACTGACCTTGGTGTCTGCAGAGTTGTTTCTCTCATTTATTCTTACTCCTCTCTCCGGCTGCTGTTGCCCAGAAGTTTTTTTCCCCCTTCTTAAACACGTTGAGGCACCACCACAGTTGCTGATGGGCTTGGCCTTGGCCAGCGGCAAGTCCATCTTGGAGCCGACCAGCATTGGCTCTGTCAGACATAGGGGAAGCTTCTAGCAACTTCCCACAGAAGCCACCCCTGTAGCCCCCCCACTACCAAAACCTTGCACACAAACCCAATGCTTTAAAAAAAAAAAAAGGGTTAAAATTAGGAAACAGCACTCTCGGACTATTGGTGGAAAGCATTAAAGGGCCGCTGAGACCAGCAACATCAACTGTAGCACTGTGCCAAAGAAGGACTGGGTGCTAAAGACAAGAATGAGAAGCTCCCTGGTCATCATGAGAAAGGCAGAAGGCAATTTCCTTACCCAGAATGTGGTAGAAAGCAAAGGAGGGAGAAAGAGGAAGCTCTGAAAAAAACCTGTTTGGGTAAGAGCCTTTTACTGTCCTGCTTAAATGTGAAATTAGTGATGTGACAGTAGTTGCCAAGAGATTTTGAAAGTTATGTATAAAACCTGAAAATGAGCCTAAAGTTTCAGGAGGTGGGTGGAAAACAGGCCGAGAAGACTGACAGCTGTCAGTCACAGCCACCGTGGCTTGCATCGAGGAGCTGAAGGAAGGTCTGAATCATGCAGCATATCCAAAGTCAGCCTGCTGTTTTTATGATGCCTTCTTCATTCAATATGACTTTGTAATTTAAAATAAGACGAGAGCCAGGGAACTTACTAACTTATTTATACCAATGAGATAATGCATTCAGTTCTCACTGTTCACACAGCCACAAAAATCACTTTGTAGGTAACTGAGGGAGCAAACCTTGTGTCGGTCTGAGCTGTTTAAACAGAAGATGTACCCCAGCCTGCAGCAGGA